GATCACATAACTATTGATATCTGATTAATGTGATTTTTTATACACATATAGAACTCGACGAGTTCTACACATTGAATAATTCAAATTATCGAAATGGAATCTATGGTGAGTCTTTACGGACCCAATAGTACCCTCTAGACTAAAGGGAAGCCAGACCCTAAAAAATATTCTCGAGTGAACAGATTAGGAATTCCATGTGAGATATGGTATTCAAATATAATTTCATGAGATTAGAGATGAAATGACTCTTTCGTCTTGTTAGGTATACCTCCTTATTGGAATATAGGACCTAAATGGTTTATTAAAATATTTAGTTTGGTATTATACTTAACTTTTGGACACCCAATGGGTATTTAATAATCTGTTTGGTAACAGTTAAGGTTCCAATAAAAGCCTTAGAATCAACAACATAATATATATATATATATATATATATTGTTTTTAGTTCTTCTTTTTGAGCAGCAGCAGTGAATTGTTCTTCCGTGGGATAGTGCTTGGGTATGATTTGTTGGTGAGATTAGTGCTTGTCAATTCGGTGGGTTGGTTTTCAAAGTTCAACTTGCTGTGAATTCAATTCGGTGGAATTTAATTCGGTGAAACTGTTTTTTATTCAGATTTGTGGTCTTCTTCAACTCTGTTTCGAAGACAATTTTGTTCATAAATTTGATGAGATCTTTCCTCTTGTTTATTTGTGATTATTTGGGATTCACCTAAGGGTGGTTTGTGAGACCATTTGTGTCTCATTTGTAATCGTTTGGAAACTTTTTGGTTGATAGTGGAATCGGATTTCGATCCCGTGAACGTACCTCACTCTGAGGGAACCACTTAAAAATTTTGTGTTGCTGTTGATTTAATTTTTCTGCATTAGTTTTTATTTCCATTGATTGATTTACTTGTGGGAAATCATTGATTTTTCCTAACAACTGGTATAAGAACTTACGGTTTATTTATTTGTGTAAATCAATGGAGGGAAATGTAGGTCATATATCTAGCTTCAATAGAAGCAATTGGGTAACTTGGAAAACTAAAATGGATGGCCTATTATTTTGTAAAGATATGTATGGGCCTATTGAGGGTGATAGTGGCAAACCTGATGATATGAAAAATGGTGAATGGAAGAGGCTTAATGGAAAAGTCGTTGGTGTTATCCGTCAATAGATTGATGACAGTGTATTTCATCATGTTGCTACTGAAACTTCGGCACATGAGTTATGGAAAAAATTAAAAGGTCTTTATGACAAAAAATCAGCCACAAATAAAGTTTTTATGTTTCGTAAGTTGGTTAATTTAAAATATAAAGATGGCAGCCTCATTCCGAAACATTTGAATGAAATAAAGAGTATTGTTAACCAACTTGCTTCTGTGAAAATTATTTTTGATAATGAGTTGCAAGCTTTGATGCTACTTAGTTCTTTACCCAAAAGTTGGGATACTTTGGTTATGATGGTTAGTAATTTGACACCCGATAGAGTTTTCATAATAAGCCAAGTCACTAGTAGCTTGTTGAATGAAGAAACTAGAAGAAAATTAGCGAGTTCCTCTCATTCGGAAACATTTGTGATGAGATGCCGAAGCAAAACAAGGGAGAGGGGTAAGACTCCTTATGGTCGTGATCAAAGCTGTGACAAATCAAGAGATGGTTCTTTTTTAAAGAAAGACATTGAGTGCTATTATTACTATGAGAAAGAGCACATGAAGCGGGAATGCTGAAAACTCAAGAACAATGAGAAAAGACGTGAAAAAATGTGGATAAGAAGCAAGAAGAAACAACGGCGGTTACTACCAATGGTGATCTCATGGTCGTTTGTGAAAATGATTATATCAATTTTGTGGGCCAAGAGAGCAATTGGGTGATTGATTCCGGTGCTTCTTTTCATGTGACTTCTCGAGTTGATTTCTTCACTACCTACACCAAAGGAGATTATGATTCTGTTCGAAGTGGTAACGAAGGTTTGTCCAAGAATATTGGCATGGGTGATGTTCGCTTGGAAACAAATTTGGGCTGCAAGTTGTTACTTAAAGATGTAAGGCATGTTCCCGACATTCGCCTCAATTTGATCTCTATTGGGAAACTAGATGATGAAGGCTACAATAACAAATTTGGTGATGGAATATGGAAGCTCACAAAGGGTTCTTTGGTGGTGGCTAAGTTCAAGAAGACTCATACACTTTATTTGATACAAGAAAAAATTTGTCAAGGTGTTGTCAATGCACTTGAAGATGATGCTTCTACCGAATTATGGCACAAACGGCTTGGCCATATGAGTGAAAATGGGCTACAAGTTTTGTTCAAGAAAGAGCTTCTACCCAGTTTGAAAGGTACACATCTTAAAACTTATGTTCATTGTTTGGCGGGTAAACAACATAGAGTTTTTTTTCTTAAAAATGTTGTTTTTAGAAAATAAAATATTTTGGAGTTGATTCATTCGAATGTTTATGGTCCTTTGAAAGTTAGAACACATAGTGGTGCACTTTAGTTTGCTACGTTCATTGATGATTATTCAAGGAAAATTTGGGCTTTTATACTAAAAATTAAAGATCAAGTTCTAGATGTATTTAAGCTTTTTTAGGTCATGGTTGAAAGAGAAACCGGACAGAAATTGAAGTACATCCGATCAGACAATGATGTTGAATACATTGTACGATTTGATGAGTATTGTCGCAACCAAGGTATTTTGCACCAAAAGACAGTTAAGAAGACTCTTCAACAAAATGGCGTTGCCAAGAGGATAAACCGCACCATTGTGGAAAGAACAAGGTGTTTGCTTTCACATGCTAAATTGCCAAAATCCTTGTTGTGAAAGGCTTTGGGCAAAAGAAAGGTATTGACTTTGATTAGATTTTCTAGTCGGTTGTGAAGATGTTTTCTATTCGGGTTGTACTTGGCATTGCCACAGGTATGAACCTTGAAGTTGAGTAACTTGATGTGAAGACCGCATTTCTTCATAGTGACCTTGAAGAAGAAATTTACATGGAGCAACAAGAAGGTTTTGTAGAGAAAAGGAAAGAGAAATTTGTTTGCAAATTGAAGAAAAGTTTGTATGGCCTCAAGCAAGCCTCGTGACAATAGTACAAAAAATTTGACTCTTTCATGATGAATAATGGTTTTTCTAAAATCACTTCAGACCATTGTGTGTTTGTGAAAAAATTTCCAGATATCAAATTTATTATTCTTTTACTTTATGTTGATGACATGTTAATTGTGGGTCAAGATCCTACCATGATTAACAGGTTGAAATTGGAGTTCAGCAAGTCTTTTGCTATGAAAGATTTGGGATCGGCAAAACAAATACTTGGTATGAAAATTGTTCGTGATCGCAAAGAGGGATTGATTTGGCTATCTCAAGAAAGTTACATTGAGAAAGTTCTTGAGAAGTTCAACATGGATAAAAGCAAAGCCAGTTGGTTGTCCACTTGCGGGTCACTTCAAGCTTAGTTTGAATCAATGTCCTACAAGTGAGAAAGACAAGAAAGAGATATTGAAAATTCCTTATGCTTCAGCGGTTGGTTCTTTGATGTACGCCATAGTTTGTACAAGGCCGGATATTTCTCACTCTGTTGGTGTGGTAAGTCATTTTCTCTCAAATCTGGGTAAAGAATATTGGGCAGCGGTAAAATGGATTCTAAGATATCTTCGAGAGACTTCAAAGATGTGTTTGTGTTTTGGGGATGGTAAGCCGATGCTTGATGGGTTCACGAATTCTAACACGGTCAGTGATGTTGATTCTAGGAAAACTACTTCAGGGTATTTTATGACATTTGCAGAGGGAGTTGTGGCATGGCAATCTAAATTACAAAAATGTGTTGCTCTCTCAACTACCGAAACTGAATTTATTGCTATTACGGAAGTTTGCAAAGAAGAGTTATTGTTGAAGAAATTTTTGCAAGAGTTGAGCTTTAAGCAAGAAAGGTGTTTGCTTTACTGTGATAGTCAAAGTGCTATTCATATGAGTAAAAATTTAATTTTTCATTCGAGATCGAAACACATTGATATAAGATATCATTGGATTCGTGATGTGTTAGATTGAAATTGTTGAAACTCGAAAAGGTTCACATAGATGATAATATTTCGGATATGTTGACTAAGATTTTGTCGAGAGATAAACATTTAAAGTGTCGAACTTTGGCGAGTATGGTTGATGTCTCCACCTAAGTTAGTGTAATGACCCCATTACGTATAATGATTAGTACTTGATTAATTAAGAGGATTTGAAATTTAATTGCCGAGCATTATAGTTAATTTGGGATTTACGAAAATTATGGAGATTGACTCATACATGATTCTATTAAGGATTTATTTTGGGATTAGAAATAGAATGCCCAAATGGCTCAAGAGAGTATAATTAGTGAATTAAGCTATTTTAATTTCGAATATCGGACCGTGTGGAAGTTTAATTAACTATTCGATTCAGATTTATAAATTGAGATTCAATAAAATTGGGTCCGAATTGGGGTTAATTAAGTTAATTAGATTATGAGGATTGAGAATTGTGATTATTGCGAATTAAAGTTATTTATAGAACGTCCAATTTGAATATGTAATTTACTGTTGGAAATTTGAGTTTGATCAGAAATTGAAGGCCTAATGATTTGGGAAATCAAAATTGATAATGATAATAAATTTAATTTAATATTTGGAGCCTTTTGAGAGTTTGACTAAAAATTCGATTCGAATTGATAAATTTAAATAAAATTAATTGTGCCTTAATAGAAGTCAAATTAGACTAATTAAATTATGGAAATTGTGATTTGTTATGATTAATTATTTGCGTGTTAAATAAGATTTATAAAGATTACGTGTTATTTAATTAATCTAATCTTAATCATAAATCAAGTTAAGAAGGATCTAGAATTGTGAGTGTGAGTGTGAGTGGGTGTGCAGAGAAACTAGTGTGGGTGTGCAGAGAAACCAGATATGTGTATATTGTTGTTGCGCTGGCAGCATTGGATCTGTGCACGTGTGTAGTGCGGTGCCTCAAAAGAAGTGTGTGTGTAATACATGTGCTAGGAAGTTAGACTCAAACATATAGAAAAGAGAAAAGAGAGAACCAAAGAGAGAGAGAGAGCTTCATTGTTTTTTGCATGCAACGTAATTAATCTGCTGGTGCAAAACCGTGAGAAAGAGAGAGACAACCATGGGTGAGAAAGAGAGAACCGTGAATGAGGGAGAGTTCAACTCCTTAAATCTTTGCTGGAAATTTGAAGGAAAACCATGGGAAAAGTGAAGAAAAGGAAGGAGAAACTCAAGTTTGGCTTGGATTTGTCAAAATTATGCAGGATTAAATGTCTATGAAGACTCTAGGTAAGGATTTGTCTCTCAAAACTTGAAGATCCTATGGTATAGAGTTGGATTTATGGGCCATTACATGTATTTTGCTTGAGCATGTTAAGAAGAAGGTGATTCCTTACATACATACAAGAATATGTTGGATTTTGAAATTATATGTTACATGCATTCTAGGATTGAGTTATGTTGAAGTTCAATCTTATAATTTGAAAGCTATGGAAAGGAATTTAGACTAGATTGATACATACATCATGAATTTTGAAGGAGTTAAAAATAAAGCTTTGTAGATATTATGAATTGTTAAGATTTGGGTTTGCATGTAAAAATCAAGTTTATGGAAAATAAATTAGAAGGTAATTATTAAGAAATTGGTGTTGAGATTAAATATTTGAGTTTGATTTTCTTCATCCTTCACATATTTGAAGTTTTCCATTACATGCACGGTAAGTTTTCAAGATTTTAGAATTGAATTCATATTTTAAAGTTTATGAGTTTGAGATTAAATTATGATATAAATTAAAGAGTCAAATTATAAATTGAGCTTGATGATGTAAAATTGGTTGGATTTGGTAAGTGTTTTATACATGCATTTTGGATTTTGAGGAACTTAAGGTAAACAATTTCATGTTTTGAAGAGAAGAAGGAAGAAATTTTATAAGAAAAATCAAGTTTATGGAAAATTAAACATTGAGTTAATTTTGAATGTAGAAAAAATTAATTAGTTTTAATCTTAATGTCATACATGCAAATATTTTCCTAAGGGTCATATAACTTCAATTTCATGTACATTAAAAGGAATTAGTAAAATGGTGTAGAAATTGAAGTAGATTCAAAATTTTAGAAGTTAATTTGAAAATAACCCTTTTGGGTTTGAATTTATTTGTCTTGTATGAAATTGAGTTCAATCACACATGCATCATACAATTTTAAGAATTGGAAAGCCTAATTTGTATCTTAGAATTGTGGGTTGATATTAATAAGATGAATTAAAATTAAATTTGGGCAATTAGAACATGATTTTGGTTGAATGTTTTCTAATTGGAAGTGTTTACTAAATCATACAATGGTTTTCCATTTTATTGTACTAAAAATACATGTTTTGAGGTTTTCAATATCAAATATGAGCTTCAATTACAATTTTGAAAATTTCAGAATTTGTGTTGTCCGCTCGAGCGAGGAAAGTCTTGCTCGAGTGTGAAAATCGAGCTCTCAGTAGTTTTTCAAATTTTACAGTTCGCTCGAGCGACCAAAGTGGCGCTCGAGCGAAGGCCCATTTTCAGCATATTTTGAAAAATTGCATGTAGTTCACATTTTTATTCTCATCTTTTTCCAAGGCATTCTAGACATGATTTATGACTCAATAAAGATTAATAAGCTACCAATCAACATAGATTAGTTAGTTGAAGGATGAATCATTGATCTAGTGGTAGTTGTTTAAGAAGCCAAGTAAAAGATTAGTCTATTGGGAAAAGACGGGCTTAGTAATGAAAGAATATGTGAAAGAAGAACCCGGTTTATTTGAATGAGAAAGATTAAGCGTAGTAGAACTTTGGACTATTTAGACGGAAAAAGACTAGGAAAGTCAAGTTTGATCAATGGAGTAATATTGTATCTCAATGTGTATATGTTATGTGCTTGTGTAGGTCACGCGCCATTGTCTGCCTGATTTATCTGATATGTCCAGTTTGTCTGATTTGCTTCTGCAGCCATCTGTGAGTAATAACTCTGTAAAGTTTTGTTTACCTTTAATTATTTTCCAATGACATGAGATGATAAGTTCTGAAATGCTATGTTTTGAATGAATGAATGATTGTCCAATTTTCCTTGGAATGTAAACATGGTACCCTTAGCCGAGGCCCTCGCCTAGGGGACACAATATTGAGGCACATGGTCATGAGGCCTTAGCCTGGGGGTTAATACCGTGGCACAGGCCCTCGCTGGAGGGAAACAATACTGTGGCACAGGCCCTCACTCGGGGGAAACAATACCGTGGCACGGATATGTTACCCGGTACCGGAGGTTCCATTATGGGACTTACTATGCTTGACTAAAATGATATGTTGTGCTAAGGGGAATGTACCACACATGATTTGAATATGGATATGACTGTGATTCTTTTCTAATACGAATATGATTATGTTTCCGACCTGATAAGGGACTGATTTCTGATTTCTGATTTCTGTATTCAATATGGTCATCATTCATTAAACCCCTTTACTCTGTTATTATTAGTTGGGCTTTAGCTCACTGTATTATTTATGTATGTAGGTGATCAGGTGCGTGACCAGGCTTAGAGGCTTCTGCCTAGAACCAGTTTTGTCAGCCAACCTATGTGCCTCCCGTGGAGGTTCCGGATATGTCAAGTGTTTATTGCTATGTGATCTAAAGTTTAAGTTTTATTTTCGTGTTTAGTTGAACAAGTCTTGTATATTTTGTAAATAAGGTTAAGTTCCTTTTTGTCTAATCTGTGTTTATATGACGACTTAAAGTTAATGTGTATATGTGTACATAAAAAGTTTAAAATTTTTCTGTCTTACATAAGTCTGCACAGCTCCATGGACGTTGTATATTGTTATTTGCTTCCGCTAACGCCTAATATTATGTTAATCTGTCTCAAAGGCCTTCGGTAATCCTAGGATTACTGGCCGGTTACCATGCTAAACCCATAGGGGCGGGTTTGGGTCGTGACAGTTAGTAGGGGGAGAATTGTTGGGTATACCTCCTTATTAGAATATGTGACTCAATTGGTTTATTAAAATATTTAGTTTGGTTTGGTATTGGTTATAATATATTTTTTATATATTATACTTAACTTTTGGAGGCCCAATGGGTATTTAATAATATGTTTGGTAACAATTAAGGTTCCAATAAAAGCCCTAGAATCAACAATATATATATATATTGTTTTTAGTTCTTCTTTTTTAGCAGCAATAGCGAATTGTTCTTCCATGGGATAGTGCTTGGGTATGATTTGTTGGTGAGATTAGTGCTTGTCAATTCGGTGGGTTGGTTCTCAAAGTTCAACTTGCGGTGAATTCAATTCAGTGAAGCTATTTTTTATTCAGATTTGTGGTCTTCTTCAACTCTGTTTCGAAGATAATTTTGTTCATCTATTTGGTGAGATCTTTCCTCTTGTGGGATAGTGCTTGAGTATGATTTGTTGGTGAGATTAGTGCTTGTCAATTCGGTGGGTTGGTTCTCAAAGTTCAACTTGCTGTGGATTTAATTCGGTGGAATTTAATTTGGTGAAGCTATTTTTTATTTGAATTTGTGGTCTTCTTCAACTCTGTTTCAACGACAATTTTGTTCATCTATTTTGCAAGGTTTTTCCTCTTATTTATTTGTGATTATTTGAAATTTACCTAGGGTAGTTTGTGAGACCATTCGTGTCTCGTTTGGAAACTTTTTGGTTGATAGTGGAATCGGATTTCGATCTCGTAAACGTACCTTACATTGAGGGAACCACGTAAAAATTCTTCTGTTGCTGTTGATTTAATTTTTTCATATTAATTTTTATTTTCATTGATTGATTTACTTGTGAAAAATTATCGATTTTCCCAAACACGTCTTTCATTTTATAAAAACAACAAAGTCACCTCTATTTAATGAGAATTTTTATATAATTTTTTATATTTAATCTCAATTAACTAATACCATTATACTACACAAATATTTTATATTTTTAATTTAATACTAGCACACTTCTTTTTATTTAGGTCTCATTTGGAAACAGATTTTTTTAGTAATTTTTGATTTTTTCACTAAAATATGATATAAAAAAACTAATATGTTTAGAATGACTTTTTAACTTTTTACGAAAAAAATGTACAAAAATTATAGAAAAAAAAAGAATATTTGACTTTTTAATATAAATTATTAATTTTTAAATTTTTTTAATAATTTTTTAATTTTACAATTAAAAAAATTATTTACCAAACGAGACCTTAATCCCACTGTATAATAATTTGTAGAAAAAAAAAACAAACCGCCCTTTGGCTCCGTTTGGTGGAGTTTTCAAAATCTAGTTCCACACTCACTTTTGAGTGTGGTGTATGTTTAGGGTTTTCAAATCATAATTTTACACTCATTTCTCAAAACTCAATTCAAAACATAATCATTACTTTTCAAAACTCATAACCAAACGCATAATTCAAAACACTTTTCAAAACTCCATTCAAATCAATATTTTAAAAATATTTTAATTTTGTTAAGATTTTAAATATTTTAATATTTAAATATGTTACGAATTTTTTAATTTTTTTTAATTTTTTGAATATTTTTAAATATTTTAATTTTGTTGTTATGTATTTGATTACGATTTGAGTGTAGAGTTGTGAAAGTAGTATGGAGTTTCGAGTTATGTGTTTGGTTATGAGTTTTAAAAATAATTTTTTAATTGAGTTTTGTTTTATGTATTTGGTTACGATTTGAGTGTAGAGTTGTGAAAGTAGCATGGAGTTTCGAGTTATGTGTTTGGTTATGAGTTTTAAAAATAATTTTTTAATTGAGTTTTGTTTTATGTGTTTGGTTACGATTTGAATGTAGAGTTGTTTTTAAATTTAAAATATTAAAATTTTAAATTATTTTAATTTTTTGAATATTTAAATTATTTAAATTTTTACGATTTAAAATTTTTGAATATTTATTTTAATTTTTTACTTATTAAATTTTTTAGATTATTTAAATTATTTAAATATTTATGATTTAAATTTTTTGAATATTTATTTTGAAAAAAAATTATTTCCTTTGTAGTATTTTCAATTAAAAAATTGATTAATGTTATTTTTTGTTAATAATAAATTTTTTTAATTGAATTTTAAAAAGAGTTTGGTTATGAGTGTTGATCAAAATTTTCAATAATGTGAAAGTAATGTGTTTTGTTATGAGTTATAACAATTTGAATTAAGTTTTGAAAACTCTTTTCAAAACTCATAACCAAACAAATTTTCTTATTTCACATGTCAAATCAAACTTTCAAAACTTAATTCTACACTCAATTCAGAACTTAATTCCACACTCAATTCAACACTTTATTCAAAAATTATAACCAAATAAATTTTCTACACTCAAATTATAATTCTAAAACATATAAACTCAAAATACAACTCATATTTTTAAATCATAATTACAGAACTCTACCGAACGGAGCCGTCTTTTGTTGAGAGTGTTTGTGTGCTGGCGCTTTCAGGCTTTTAAGGATATGATATGATCGATTTTGCCTAATTACAATGTCCTTGACAAAACCACTGACAAATTCTTACTCCCCTCTCTCTTTCTCTCACCTCTCTCCGTCCTTTTTCACACGAGATCTACAAGACAGCATCCACCTGAACCGTCACCTTTGTGAAAGCGAAAAAAAAAAGGGGGAGAGAGAGAGATTGCAGGCATAAAATTATTAGAAAAATTGTAAATACATATCAACAAAATTTATACCATCATAAAAATATAATTTTCTCTATTACTCTACCAAAATATTATTTTTTCAAAATTATTATTTTTGTTACTTAATGAATATTTTTTTTACAATTTTACTTTGATGTTGAAAGTCTGACTTGCAATAATGTGTGCTATGATTTAAATGAAGAGTAAATTACATTCATTTTTACTGAGATTTGGAAAAAAAATAATTTTATAAGTTTGATATAATTATATTAATTTTACTTTTAGTAAATTTAAAATGATCAAAATAAATATAAATTGTGGGTAAATATTAAAATAAACAAAATTAAATGTATATTTTTGCATATTAAAGATGACAATATCATTTTTTTTTATATATACGATTCACGAATTATTGATCAAAGAGAGTTAAAGTATTATGTGAATTAAAATATTAAAAGAGAATAGTGTAATTATACCCAAAACAAAAATGAAATTAATTGTTTTTTTTTTCAAATTTTATGAGAGATGTAAGTGTAATTTACCTTTAATTGAATTAATTATAATTTTTATTTGAATTATTCGTCAAACTGTTTGTCATAATTTGTAGCATATGTAATAAAAAAATAGTTTAAAACTTCTTTTGGCATAATTTATAAATTTTTTTGAATTAAATTTAATCTTTGGTAATAAACTTTTAATCGAAAAAATTTAATTTTTAAGGTTTGTTAAAGTTCTCAAAAAAAAAAAAAAAAGAAGGTAAACTTTATTTTACGCCTATGATGTGCGGTTCACCCCTTAACATTTAGAAATAACCCCATAACTTTCACGTGGTTTGTAGACTGAAATGCACCATTAAACACTGTTAAACATTCCGTCCAACTTAATAACAAGTATGAAACACATGACAAACATAAAGGGGTTATATACTCATTTTCAAATTTCAAGAGGGTAAATTACACATGAAATAAAGCACATGGGGATTAAAGTGTACTTTGTCTTTCAAATAAATAATGAAAATACAAGGATATTTTAGTCTTTTTTATTAAATTGTTAACAATCCTAACGGTGCACTTCAGTCCATAAACCACAATGCGATTATTTCCAAATGTTATAGAGGTAAACCGCACATGACCCAAACTATAGGGAGGTAAAGTAAAGTTTGTCCAAAAAAAAAAAAAAGTGCTTACAGAGTCCAATAATATATTGTACATACCCTCCTCATTTTGTGGTGTTGATACCATAAAGTGTTGTAATTAAATCACTTTTAATCATAATAATTAAGATCCTGTTTATTTAAGCCTGTGTTTGGCAAGTGGGTTTGCAGGTTTTTTTGGCTATTTTAGCCACAAAAAACAAAATAGGCTATTTTAGCTATAACAAACAAAATATCACATCCAACCCATAATCATTACATTATTCTCTCACAAAAAAACTCAAAAAAGCTAAAAAGCCCTTCCCAAACCAAATTTTTAAGCCCAGGCTAAAATAGCAAAAAAAATCAAAAAATCAAAAAGTCAACCCACTTCCCAAACAGAGACTTAGGGGATATAAGCTGTAAATATGGAAATGATATATATGAGGTGGATGTCACATATTTTGTAATCTCTTTATATACATTTGGTTAAGTCAGATATCATCTCCCTCAAAAGAAGGGTTGTGGAATATCACTCTCTCATGGTATTTTATATCTCTCATAGCCCAATATAGATTTAGTTTTCATTTAACTATCAAAAATAATAATTCTCTTCTTATACCATGTTATATCATATATTAATCAAATATACTAGTAAAATTAATCTGAAAGTATATATAATAAATCTCATATCTTAAAAATATTATATCTCATACTATATTTCTAAGTAAAAGGATTACAATACATTATAACTAACAGCGCTGCTTGAGGGCCCTAAATTTCGGGGCTCGAATGCCCCGAAATTCCACTTTTGGTAAAAAAAAAAAAAAAAAAAAAGGAAAAAAGAAAGAAAAAAAGAAAACAGTTTCCAAAAATGGAAATTAGGGGCATTAGGGGCAAATTTTTTAGGACCACCAATCATTTTCCTATAACTAAATACCAGGCATAAGTTGTATTTGATCATAACTAAAATAATAACCATAATTTGTCCTAGCTAAGTCATAATAGCAATACCGCATGATGAATAATCAAAGACCTTGTCAAATATAAGTAAAGTAACATCATAATTAAGTTGTAGCCAACACTAGAATTAGGGGTTGTTTGGGGTGTCCTAAATAAGTGTACTTTTTATCTTTTTGAACTAAAAAATTGAGGAAGAAAATATAGATGTTTGGGTTAATTTTTTGACTTTTTATGAAAAAATGTGTAATAAAAAATTATAAAAATTGATTTGTAAGAGAAAATTAGAATTGGGAGTTGTACAGCCGTAATTGTTGACTTTTGATGAATAGTGTTAACTTTTTAACTTTTTGAGTAACTTTTTGATTTTTTAGCTTATTCTGAACTTGTCAAACTTGACCTTAGTCATGATTGACAACATAACGGATAGACATGAGGTAAAATTATTTTTTGTTAGAGTGTGTATTATAAGATTTTCCTTGTTACATTAGATACGTGTAAAGTTTACTAAAGAATCAATTTAGACTAAGTACAATTAATTAAGGGATTTATCAATAAATCTCATATACAAAGTTTAAAACCTATCTAATCTCAAAATGAAACAATTGTACTAATTAGTCTTATATATTTTTAATTGTTATCCAAAAATCCTTCTTTTTTTTTTTTTAATTCACAAAAGCTATTACATCTCACTACCGTCGGACTTCCGTCAGACAATCACCGGAGACTCACCAGAATGTTCAACATCGCCGAGAATTCGTCAGAGTATCGCCGTAAGTTTTACTAGAGTGTTATGAACGCCAATAGAAGTTGCCGAAATGTCCAGAACGTTCGCTGGACATTAAAATCGTTGGAAACTAACTGGAATGTTCATAATATTGTTAAAAAAAATAGAGAAATTAGAGCGAAAAAATATAGCAAAATGTGCTAAATATTGATAAACTAAAAGGATAAAAATGTAATGACAAAAAATAGCAACACTTGGAAAAACATATATTATTTTTCAATTTTTGTAAGATTTAAACAAATAATCTCTAATATTGATTAAACTGAAAAGCATGCTTTGAAACTGTAAAATGTTACAGTTTCAAAGCAAAAATTTATTAAGCATTTATCCTTATTAAGCAAACTGAAAAACATGTTATGAGATTGTAAAATTTAACGGTTCTAAAGAATGTTATGAAACTGCAAAATTTTATAGTTTTAAACCATGATTCATTCCAGTACAAAAAAAAAAAAAAAAAAAAAAAAATTGAAACTGTAAAATTTTATAGTTTTCACCACTTGTAATTAAAACTCGAAAACAACTTGTTCAAAACTTGAAATTTTTTTCCATTAAAACAGAAAAAAAGAAGTGTATAGTAGAGAAAATATAGAAAAATTAAGAGATCGAATGAGAGAGACAAATATAGAGAGAGGATTGTACTCCCACAATTATTTTTTGTTTTGATTTAGCTAGATCTGATGTAGATTTACTTAGATCTGATGTAGATCTACATTAGATTTAAGTAGATCTACTCATCTTCTTCGTTTATCTGAAACATATCTTCTTTACTGTCGGTGATGGGGAAGTAAGGAGTTGACGGTTGGTGGTTGCCGGTGAATCCTAATTGATAGTACTTATTGGTCGCCAGCGACTATATATTAGAAAGAGAAAGAAGAAGCAAGATGTGGTTGTCCGTCGACGATTGCCAGAAATTAAAAAAAGCAAAAGAGGTAGAAAAGAAGAAAAATATTATAGGACTTTTGAGTATAAATAAAAAATTATGAGACTAAATAGATTACACATATTTCAAAAAAGACTTCTTGATAATTTATCCATTAATTAATTAATTAAATTTTTTAAAAAATTGACAGTAAATTAAAAAAACAAAATAGACTAAAGTAACTTATATAGGTGGTGTTTGGGAAGAACTTCTTGGGCTAAATTAGCCATGTAAAGACAAAAAAGTTGATTTTAGCCACATAGAGACAAAAACTTCATAATCACTTGCCACCAACCAATGTCAAGGTAAATTTACAAATCTACCCCCACATGAGAGAGGGGCATCACCACAAAAGCCTCACAGTCACTTCCCAAAAAACACCTATTTTCAAAAAAATACACAGGACGTTGAAAAAAAAAAATTAAAAACGTTTTTTTGGTTTTTGTTAAAATATTTTATAAAAATAAATTTAAACTCTATTTATAAAAATATTTGTAAATATTTTAAAATTTTTTTATTATGTGTTTGGTTATGATTTGAGTGTAGAGATGTGAAAGTAGTATGGAGTTTCGAGTTATGTATTTGGTTATGAATTGTAAAAATAATTTACTAATAAAATTTTATTTTATGTGTTTGGTTACGATTTGAGTGTAGAGTTGTTTTTAAATTAAAAATATTAACATTTTAAATTATTTAAAATTTTTGAATATTTAAATTATTTAAATCTTTTTGTTAAAATAATTTTTTAAATATTTAAATTTTTTGCAAAATAAATTTGTTAGATTATTTACATTATTTAAATATTTAAAATAACATTAAAGTTAAAATAAAAATTAAAATAAAATTCAAATTCAAATTAAATTAAATATTTAAAAGTAAATTAAAATTAAATTATTTAAAATACACATCCTAATAAAATAAAACCTCATTTTTTATCATTTCACCGAAAATTAAAATAAAAATAAAAATAAAAAACGCATGAAAAAATATTTGCAAAAAAAAAAAGGAACTTAAAATACATAAATTATTAACAATAATTTATTAATTGAGTTTTATTTTACGTGTTTGTTTACGATTTGAGTGTAAACTTGTTTTTAAATTTAAAATATTAACATTTTAAATTATTTTTATTTTTTGAATATTTAAATTATTTAAATTTGTTTGTTAAAATAATTTTTTGAATATTTAAATTATCATAAACTACAAACTACGTTCTCACTTTCCATAGCTAGAGATCTAAGGAAACTGCAGGACGTTCGGATAACTCACTGTGGCATGATGAAAGCAATTGTTTCAAGTGAAAAATGATTTATATTTACGAAAATTATAAAAATTATATAATTAATTATTATAAATTATTATTATATATAAAAATTATATTATTTCAATGCTTGAGTGTTGTGGGTGTGGCCATTGGTGTGTGTGTCATTGTGTGGGTTGGCTTTGGTTGGTAGTAGAAACGCCATTTCAAAAAAAAAAAAAAAAAAAAAAAAAAAAAAATTAAAAAGAAAACCCAAAACCAAACCCAAAAAAAAAAAAAAAAGTAGCAAAAAACGGCAAATCAAAATCGAAAATAAGAGAAAAATAAAAAACAAATAATAAAAAAAAAAACAACATTGGTGGACCGTTTGGGAAGCTGACGTGGATGCCAAAATCTTTGAATTACAGGTACATGTGGATCAAGGGCACTTTGGTAAATTAACAGGAGGCCACCTCACCAAAAAGTCAAAAAACCAAAAAAGCTAAAAAGCCCTTCCCAAACCAGGCTTTTTAGGCTCAGACTAAAATAGTTAAAAAAGCTAAAAAATCAAAAAGCCAACCCACTTCCCAAACGGAGGCACTGTCCTTAGCAAATCCTAAGGTTTGAAAAAACAAAAGTATGATTATTTCAAGATAAAATATATTAAAATTTAACAAACTATCGATTTTTCAGCTTGGAATATACCAATGAGTGTTTTATTCTTAGATTACCATGATTTGTGAACTAAGGAATCGTTTGAGAACATGCTAATTTAATAATTTTTTGACTATTTGATTAAAATATGAGTTAAAAAAAATTAATATGTTTGGAATGATTTTTTGACTTTTTACGAAAAGATATGTAAAAAGTAGAGAGAAAAGAAAATTTTTAACTTTTTGGTATGAATTGTTGACTTTTTGATTAATTTAATAATTTTTTGACTTTTTTACTAAAAAGTTCGGTTGCCAAACAAAGCCTAAGGTCCTCTCAATTCCATGATTGTAATGGAATATGTTCATTATATTATTTAAAGTAAAATAATTATAAAAATTTATTAATATTTTAAATTAAAAAAAAATCATTATAAATCTTAAATAGTATAATAAAAATCTTCTATTACGGGAGGATAATAATAAACTGATCAAAATACTTCTAGCATTCCTATCATAAAATACGTTCTCCAACTATAGTCAAATCCTCTTTTTCTTCCTCTTCTTCTTCTTCCTCTTCATCAGATTTCTTTGTATAATAAACCTTTTCTCACATGGGTTGCTCTAATTTCTTCTTTCCAATCCTAATCATAATCATAATCCTCACAGAACAATCATCACTGGTTGAATCATCATCATCATCCAATAAGAACAACAAGAAACCCACTGGACCAGTAATCAATGTCACCAAGAATCTCTCCTTCCCTGATTTCAGCTCCAACAACAACCCCAGACTCCATCAAGACATGAAGCTTCTAGGCAGTGCCATTTTCTCTACTCGAGAAAACGGTTGCATCCAAATCCCACCCGATTCGCCGCCGCACACGGCTGTCGATCTCCGGCACCTCGCCGGCCGAGCCCTCCACTCCTCCCCAATCCGCCTCTTCGACCCTCTCTCCCAAACCCCATCTTCTTTCCAAACAACCTTTTCATTCCAATTCACCACCACCACCACCAACCCCACCTCGGTTAATAATATTAGTGGCAGTGGCCTCACCTTCATCATCGTCCCCGACGAGTTCACCGTGGGTCGCCCTGGTCCGTGGCTCGGCATGCTCAACGATGTATGTGATGATGGTTACAAAGCAATTGGGATCGAATTCGATACTCGCCAAAACCCAGAATTTGGTGACCCAAATGACAACCATGTGGGTATCAATTTAGCTAGCATTGTTTCATCCATAACAATCGATGCTTCAGAGGTCGGTGTTAATCTCAAGGACGGTTCGATCCACCGTGCTTGGGTTCACTACGATGGCCAAAACAAGTACATGGACATCTTTCTCGGCCGAGAAAATTATAGTTTGCCTGAGAAACCAGTGTTCTCTGGTCCTCTCGATCTCTCACCTTTTCTCAAAGAGTATATGTTTGTTGGGTTCTCTGCTTCCACTGGAAATGTCACCCAAATCCACAACATATTGTCTTGGAATTTCACCTCGATTAGCCGAGCTGTTCTTCGTGTTCCTTCGACCGAAACTTGCGAGAGCAAGATCATACTCGAACAAGAAAAGATCGCTCATCACAGAAAAACCCCCAGTAGCTTTCTGATTTTCTTAGCTGTGGTTTTTCTCGTTCTCGTTGTTTTGCTGAATCTATACTTGAGTGGAAAGCGAAAGGAGGACAACCCAAAAGACACTCTTGTGTTTCCTGAGAAAAAACACCGACCCAGGCCGCCAAACAAGCCTCGGCGATTCACAATCGCCGAGATTCAATCGGCGACTAGGTGTTTCAGTGAGTTAGAAGAACTAGGTAGAGACTCGAGAGGGGTTACATACAAAGGAACAATCTCAAATGGATGTCAAGTAGTAGTGAAGCGATTCTCGACTCAGTTTTTGAGTTCACAAGGACTCGATCGAAAGCGAATTTCCAAGGAAATCAATTTAATAAGCAAAATTCGACATCCCAATTTGGTTCCAGTGAGAGGTTGGTGCTTCGAGAATCGCCAAACCATGGTGGTTTACGATTACCTTCAAAATGGAAGCCTCGACAAGTGGCTGTTCGGAGTGGGTGTTTTGCCCTGGACTCGGCGATTCAAGGTGGTCCGAGACGTCGCCGAGTCACTGAGTTACCTTCACTCGAGACAACTCGCTCACAAAAACTTGAAAACCACTAGTGTCTTTCTTGATGTGAGCTTTAGAGCTGTTCTAGGTGATTTCGGGTTCGTTCTTGACTCGGCCGAGTCAAGGCGGTTTGAATCGGTGGTGAGTCAGAAAGCCGACGTGTTTGATTTTGGGATACTTGCGTTGGAGGTGGTGGGTGGGCGGAGGAGGATAATGGGGCCCGACCCAGGTGAAATGGACTTGTTGGACTTAGCTTGGGCTAAGCATGAGAGTGATGAGAAGGCCAATGTGGTGGATCGGAGGATGGGTTCAGTAGTGAATACGGAGCAGACGGTTCGGGTTTTGGAAATCGGGTTGTTGTGCACTTTGAATGAGAATAAAGGGCGGCCGACGATGGATGAGGTGATGGAGTTTCTGAGTTTGGAGAGACCGGTTCCTGAGTTGCCACCGAGTCGACCCGTTGCTTTGTTCCCGTACAGTAGTACCACCGGTCTATGCACTGGGTATTCTTGTGGTTCGTTCAAGTAAAGCCATGTGTATTATTTGTCATTTTCGATGGAGTAGCTATAAGTCGCTCTCAATTTTTATGCGCACCTTGATCAAATTTAATGTGTACAAAGAAGAATAATGAGAGATATTTGAAAAATAAAATAAATAAAATTACATGATCATGTTTGTATGTTATATTTAATTTATTATAGAATTGTGTTATTATAATATTGGTAATACATATGAGTTGTGAAATTTCATCAATCAGTTCAATTATAATAAATGAGATGACAAACTCATATGGTATTAAAACAATAATCATTGTAAGCATTATATGAGTGAAAGAGTAGTTCATCTCAAGACTTCATTGTTTTCCTATTTTTAAAGACTATTTTCTGGATTTCGTGAGACTCACAATGGTAATCTCAACCATTTATCTCGTAGACCTTAGGGAGAAGAATATATATATATATATATATATAAAATTAGTTTAATCGGATATCGGTAGGTATTTTAACTTATTGTATTTTCTTTTATTTTATAAAGTGAATTGGTTTACTTTAAAATCATATTTACCATTCATTTCATAAAACAAAACACGATTAGTTAATTTGTCTATAGATGTCTGTATAATCTAACTTTTTTCATATATGTTTATCCTCTCCAAGAACTATGAGATGAACAATTGAGATTACCATTGTGAGCTTCATAGAGCCCATAAAATAAGGACTGCTATTTGCCCCCACCTTTTTACTTTAGCCCCCTCACTTCTTTGAACTCCCACCCAACAAAATGAAACTTCTATATTTTCTCTTTGAACCTCCACCTTAATATCAACTATACCCCTACCCCCAAAACCAAACCCAAACCCAAACCCTAACCCAATCTCCACCTCCACTCCATTTCGGCCGGTAGCTATTCTAGTGCTTCCCCACCGATGACCACACCCTCCCACCAACTCTCACCACCGCGACCTCCTTCCACTTCTCTCTCTCTCTCCCTCTCTCTCTCTCTCTCTTTTCGTTGTTTTCTCGCATTCCAATCAAGTATGAGTGAGAAACAGAGCAAAAGGAAAAACCTATCAACAATGGTCACCATTTAAACCACTATCACATGCTACGGCAAATGATTTCATGGTCGTATGCTTTGCCCTCACTACAACATTTTCTTAGTTTAGTAATATTTGAAAGTGCCATAAAACTATTGGTTTAATGACATTTTTTAGTCTTGTGGCATTTTGAACAAGTGCCATTCGTATCCGTGCCACGATAGATACTAGTGCCACGGTAGATACTAGTGCCACGGTAGATACTTGCAAGTGCCACTACACCATCATGGCTAAAAACTTTCAATGACATTTTGATGTCATGGTAGATATTATTTGTGGCACTATCAAGCGCCATTAAAAAAAGAGTTAGTGACACTTATAAGTGTCATTACACCATCAAGACTAAAACCTTTCAATGACACTTTAATGTCATGGTAGACACTATTCGTGATGCTATCAAGTGCCATTCGTGACGATAATTCGTTATAGAACAATTTGATCCACTCTTGGGAGACTTGAATTGCCAACCTCTCGCACCATAAACCTTATACACTACACTTTTCCCATTACACCTCTATAGCACCACATGATTATATATGCAACATATATTATTTATATAGTGCATACATCCATATTAATATAAAAGTATATGTATAAACACAATTATTTTATTGAACATAATTTATGTAAAATAAATTATTTACTAGCAAAATAAAAAAAGACCACTTCGCCAATTCTATACTTTGGGCTACTAATTGTTTTTTAGTTGCTAAAAAACTTAACTTTTTCCGACCAAAATCGGATTTGGTCGTTGAAGATGCACCTTCAGCTACCAAAATTTTGATCGCCAAAAAATTTAATTACCGCCTTAGGATTTTAGTTCTCCCGCACTAAAAATGACCACTTTTGACAACTAAACTTAATTTTTAGTCGCCAATTGTAGATTTTTGGCTACTAAAATTTTTTTAGTCACCAAAAAGCTTTAATTTGGGCTACTAAAAAATTTTTAGTCACTAAAACCCATATAATCAGCGACCAAACTTAGTTTTAGTAGCCAATTGTAGACTTTTGGCCACTAAAATTGTTTAGTCGCCAAAGAGCTTTACTTTTGGCTACTAAAAGTTTTTTAGTCAATAAAACCCATATAATCAGCGACCAAACTTATTTTTAGTCGCCAATTGTAGACTTTTGGCTACTAAATTTTTTTAGTCGCCAAAAAGCTTTACTTTGGGCTACTAAAAAATTTTTAGTCACTAAAACCCATATAATCCGCGACCAAACTTAGTTTTAGTAGCCAATTGTAGACTTTTGGCCACTAAAATTGTTTAGTCACCAAAGAGCTTTACTTTTGGCTACTAATACTGTTTTAGTCGCTGAAAGCTAAACTTTCAGCGACCAAATTTTTTTTGGTCAGGAAATTTAGTTGCCGAATGTACTTTTTCTTGTAGTGTATATTGAGAGTTTAATTTATTTATTTTTAATCATTTACTGCATTTTAAAAATTTAGAAAATATATTGGCATTTTTTGTTTTTTCAAAAATGCCATTATAAGCTTGGAAAGTTTTTGGCTTAGTGACATTTCTCAAAATGCTATAAAATATTTGTTTATGACACTTTTCACCTAAGTTCCATAAAAAGTAATTTGCACCTACCTAGTGTCCTGACATTTTTTAAAAAATGCCATTGCTACTAAAGTTTAGTGGCATCTGTTGGTAAATGTCACGAACATAATTTTTTGTGTCATTATTTTATAAAATGCCATAAAATTGATGTGACATTTCTTTATTAAAATGCCACTAAAGCCTTATATGTTTGTGATTCTGTGGCATTTTTCTAAAACATTTAATGCCAATTTTTATTTTTGTGGCATTTTCTAAAAACATGCCACTAGTGTAGTGTCACTAAAGTGTAAATTTGTTGTAGTGACATTTTTGTTGTAGTGAAGTGACACTCTTTTTAATTGAAATGCCACTAGAGCCTTGTATGTTTGTGGCTCTATGACATTTTTCTAAAAAATGCCACCAAATATTCTTTTTGTGATATTTTTTAAGAACATGCCACTAGTATGGTGTCACTAAAATGTGTTTTTGTTGTAGTGCCTCCTTCTTTATCTTCTTCTAAAAACCCTAGGTTTTTATCTCTCTCTCTCTCTCTCTCTCTCTCTCTCTCTCTCTCTCTCGCAATGAATGAGGAGATCATGATAGCGAAGTGGTTTCGGCAACACAGTGTTGAACGAATTCTTTTGGTTCAGTAACACAATACTGAATGGGTCAATGTCACAATCGCAATCTCTACCCTTGCTACTAGTTTGATCGCAGTGCGCACGATGGAGATCTCTCTCTCTCTCTCGCTCGCTCGCTCATTTGATCGCTTTTCTTTGATTGAGATCTACAATAGGGGCTAGGGGTGTTTGTTGATGGAGGTGGTGGTTGATTGCGACAGAGGGAGTGGTGGTTGCGGCAATGAGGGGTGGTTGGAGATGATAGTACTATCGGAGGTGATTAAGGTTAGGGGTAGGGTTTGAAAAATTAGGGTTAGAAGATTAGAAATGAGGGTAAAAGTGGAATTTTAGGTTGGGGCAAAATTGGAATTAAAAAAAAAAAGGAGGTGGCGGTTCTAAAAAGAAAGGTAGGGGTTAATAACAATGCTCTCACAAAATAGAATCCTCAAGGATCTAAAAGGTAGGAAGCGAATGAAGTCTTGAGATGAGCTACCAAATTCAAGGTTTAGATTGAATACAAATCAAAATATTAATGTTTAAATTGATAAATTAAAAAAATTAAGATTTATTATGTTATAAAGCTCAAATCTTAGAAATTTTTATAGTTTTTCCTATAAATAATAAACCTATATGGGAAACACACCCCCCTTAAAGGGTATATTCACCTTATAATTAACGGGAAAAAAAGAGAGGCATAATTCCATACTTTATAAGTCATAACTATAACATATATATATATATATATATATCATAACCAAATACAACATATGGCATAACCAATGATCTCATAAGTCATAACTAAAATAATTTTATAACGAAAGAAGAAAATTGGTCATAACTAAAGAAAAAATGGCATAACTACGAGTGCATATGGTATATTCCTTTCAAGGAGTGTGTGTAGTAAAATTTCCCAACCTATATACTAGGGGTGCAACTCAAGCAGGTTCGAATGTTTTCCAAGCCCAGCCTAAGTTGTATCGAGACCTACCCAAACACGAATTGTTACCCGAGGTTGTCTGTCCAAACCCAACCCAAGTTAAACCTAAATTGCCCAAATTGTACATAAATTTCAGTTTTTTTATTTTATTTTTTGCAACTAAATTATTTATTTATTAAATTAGACTATTTACATTTTTTTTAGAAAATCATTAAAATTATCAAAACAGATAATTTATATAATGTATATTTAATATGATTTAATAATTTAAATTAATTTAATATCACATAATGGCTATGTATATTTAATATTTTTATACAGGGAAATTTTTTTCAGGTCTATGATATTAAGATTTTAATATAAAGGACATACAATATTTTTATATTAGTTAAGGTCCCTCAACATTTTCATAGAGAAAATTTGACTCAGAGAAATTTCGCCTGAATTAGAGAAATTTTGTCTTGACTCAGAAAAATTTCGATGATTTTATAGATAAATTTTGAAATTTCTCTGGTATAATTACAGAGAAATTTCAAAATTTCTCTATGAAAATTGAAATTTCAAAATTTCTCTGTAAAAATTAAAATTTTTCTGAGTTGGGGCCAAAACTTCCCCAAGTCGGGGAAAATGTCTCTAAGTCAAATTTTCTTTGTGAAAATGTTGAGGGACTTTAGCTAATTAAAAAAAATATCTTGGACCTCTCCTACTACACAAAGTTAGAGAGGGATGTTTCACTAATTTTTCCTTTTATATATCTATATATGTATAATTCTGGTTTTGGATTGTTCAGGTTGTTTGATGTCTTTGTCCAAGCTTGGAAAAATTTAATTCGGACTTTGAAAGTTTGTCCAAACCCGTATCGAATTCAAAAATATATTGTCCAAGCCCTAAAAAATTCAGGCTAGACTAGTGTTGCTCGGGTTGAGCTCGCTACGTTGCACCCTTACTATATACATGAAGTGAAATAGTTAAAAAAATAAAATTTAATT